AATAATTTCTTTCACTTTTCATCTTTATTCAGTATTTGTCTACTATAATAATTTAATGCTGCAATGGATGAAAATAATAATAGAGAAGTTGATCCTAGGAAAAAAAATACTATTTATTAGATTTGAGATGTGATAACTAGGGACTGAAACAAATTGAACACAGCGAACACTTCTAGTTCATTTTAACTGAATACTGCGAGGTTTGAATTTGGCTTAAAATTCAGGTATGAAGTTTTTATGAGGTTCAAATTTATTTCATGTAAAGAATGATAAGGTACAACTTGCCTAATGCACATCAAGAAAACTAGCCTCATTAAGCATCAATTCAAGCTTAAATTTGGCCAAGTTGAATTCAAGAAAAAAATTTAAGATATTATTGTTTTCAATAAGATAATTAAAGAGGTATATAGGGATGGCAATGGGGTGGGAGACCCTTCCTCAACACCTTCCCCACTAACTAGTCGTCCTATATTCGTTATGAATAAAGAAATTTGAATCCACCCCTGTGCCTTGCTGTAGAATTCTTTACCTGCTGCATACTTGCTATTTTTTCTTTTTCAAATCTACACCTTCACTAATTTTTTTTTCATAAACTTACCTTTCTCATATAGGGCATAGTAGGATAGTTTAGCGGGCCTCCCGACCCAATTGCCATCCATTGGCGGTACCCCTTTGGTACTTTGTTAATATTTGTAGTTCACACTTTTATTTTTTAAAAAATAAATATATGTAAAATGTGGAAATATATATTTTTATGTTAAAACAAGATAAATATGCATTTATTTATAAACTTAACAGTGATTAATACATTTGGATATGTTTTGTGAGCTTTGAGCTGAATACACGTGACTTGCTTTGGGCTTGCTAAGATTTAAATGTCTATCAAGGAGCTTAAATTCGCTATGAAGTTTGGTCCAGCTGAGTTGAAAGTAAATTTCAAAAGAATGGGGCCTTAACCATTCAGTAACATTAATGTCTTGGTGGAAACATTAGTCACATTCGTGCTCATTTAACACTCTATAATAAAGTGTTCTAGAAAGGATTTCTGGTCTAGCTACTCAAATTACTCATCAACACTTCGAACTCTGAACTGTGTAACATAGAATGCTTTAGTAACATATATCAATGTTATTATCATTATTTTTACCTGTAACTAAACCTGAAACCTTTTCTTTTACATTATTGTTGTTCATCTTTCGTGGTAACCATCTTAATAAATTCTTCTTGATGGGGGGATAAGTTTGAGTTGCAAGAATAAAAGAACAAGTGTAGCTAAAAAATTAAGCTTTTGCTATATAAAGAGTAACAAAAGTTGCATGATTATTTTATATATCATTATCTTATACCAGTTTTATGATAAGCGTGCATCTAACCTCAGGTGAGGGATGAGATTGAACACCTATTGGATGACAATGAAGATATGGGGCAGCTATATTTAACAAGGAAGTGGATGCAGAATCAGCAATCTGAAGCTGTATTAGGGGCTTCAGCATCAAATGCCATTGTCCCTACTGTGTCTAGTCCAAACAGAACTGCTAGTTTGGTGACAAGCAATCTCGACAATAATGATGTTGAAGATCTGGAAATGTTGCTTGAGGCTTATTTTATGCAGTTGGATGGAACGCGTAACAAAATACTTTCTGTGAGTACTTCTCTCTCTTCTTTGTAGGGCCTTTTACATGCATGTGTAACTTGCAATAGATTTTCTAGGAGATTTTGTTATGGAACAAATCAGTAATTGACACATGTATACAACAAAAAAAAATGTCGATTAAGTTTTCTGCAGTTCCTTGGCAGATTGTGTTTAGTTTTTGTATTTTTTCTTTATTAGCTGCAAGAAGTTACTGTAGATAATTTGGGAGTTAACTAAGCAATTTGGACATTACCTATTCTTTAGTTGGTAGCTTTAGGATATTATCTTCGCTTTTATGTTGTATATAAATAATCTGCAAAAGAAAAAGGTCATCAGCAGAGATAATTTAGTTAACAAAAATAGAGTTCCATTCTAAACTCGAAGCGATTGAAGAGCTCTTTCCTAATTAGCCCTTACCTCCAAGATCTCAAAAGGTTCTCTCCTAATGAGTCCTTACCACTCTATTAACATAGGAAATTAAGGAAGTAGTACCAGCAAACTCTCTAGATGTTCACTAGAATTTGCAGATAGTGCACCCATAACCAGATCGTATTTAGGGACCTTAACTGATTTCTTTTTAGATCTTGTTGCACAAAAATCATAGGAT